GATGCTCTGCATCACTAGCCATCAGAGAAATGCAGATCAAAACCACCATGAGGTACCACCTCACACCGGTCAGAATGGCCATCATAAATAGATCCACAAACAACAGGTGCTGGCGAGGCTGTGGAGAAAAGGGAACCCTAGTCCACTGTTGGTGGGAATGCAGACTGGTGCAGCCACTATGGAAAGCAGTGTGGAATTTCCTCAGAAAGCTGAAAATGGAACTGCCTTTTGATCCAGCGATTCCCCTGCTGGGACTATACCCTGAGAACACCAAAACGCCAATACAAAAGAACCTATGCACCCCAATGTTCATAGCAGCACAATTTACAATAGCCAAGAGTTGGAAGCAACCTAAATGCCCATCAGTAGATGAGTGGATCAAAAAATCATGGTACATATACACAATGGAATACTACGCAGCAGAAAGAAAAAAGAAGTACTAAACTTTGCGACAGCATGGATGGAACTGGAGAGCATCATGCTAAGCGAAATAAGCCAGGGGGTGAAAGACAAATACCATATGATCTCACCTATAAGCGGAACCTAACCAACAATGCAAAGAAGCAAGGAAAATATGACCAGCAACACTGAAAGGAAAAGAAATCAACAGAGACAAGAGGGAAGGGCGGGGGGCAGGGAAAGGGAAGGGAAGGGGAAAGTCAAGGAACATATAGCAAGGGCTCATGGACAAAACCAAAGGGGAAGAGCTGAGGGAGGGAAGGTGGGAGGGGGCAAGGGAAAGAGGTGGGGGGAAGGCAGAGACAAATGTATTTAAAAAGTAAATAAATTAATTAAAAATAAAATAAAATAAAATAAAATAAAATACTGTCATCTCGCAGTTGGAATTTTCATTGCTGTTTTAATAGGAAGCAGATGTTCAACTAGATTCTGTCACTTTGGCCAAGAGAAAACATTGGTTCTTAATAGAATGCTGATAGTAACTCCACTCACCATCATGAGCTTGAATATAAGTGGTCATTTCTATGGAAAACTTATCAATGGATTCCATGTCAGAATAACTAGTTCTTATTCTTACTAGATCTTATTCTTACTAGACCTTATTCTTACTAGAGCTGACTTTAGTAAGGTGGAACAGCTCCTCTTTCTCGAAGCTTACTCTTCTTCTGCCTTCTATGATATTAGATTTTCCTAGTCATGCTCCTACTCTTCAGCCTACTTTACTGTCAAATATTGAAGATTTGTCACATACAAATTGATCATGAAAAATTTTATCCTTTCTCATTTCACTTCCTCTATTATCAAACATCTAGGCTACCATCATATTATGATCTGAATGTTTGTGTCCCCCTAAAACACATGTTTTGAAATCCTAAGCCCCAATATGTTGGTATTAGGAGGTGGGGCCTTTGGAGATTAGGTCATGAACACAGAGCCTTAATGATGGACCAGTGTCCTTAGAAAACAGACCCCAGAGAATGCTCTCGTCCCTTCTGCCAGTGTGAGGACTGCCGGGTAGAGACAGCTATGAACCAGTGATGGGGCCCTCAGAAGACTCCAATGTACCAGCACCTTAATCTTGGACTTCCCAGCCTTCCTCACTGTGAAAAAAATAAATATTTGTTGTCTAAGGCACCAAGTCTAAGGGGTTTTTTTGTTACAGGAGCCCAAATGGACTAAGTCAGTCTCTGGTTCTTCAAAAATTCCAATCCTATAAATGCCATCACATATTCTGCTCTTAATATTCATGATTGACTTGAATGTGATAAAAACAGCATCTGTCTAGAACACATGTTATGTTATCAATGTCTGTAGAAAGAAAAAATTCCAGTAATAAATTAACAATATTTATTTGCACAATTATTTCATTTTCTTTTATAAAGTAAAGAGGATAGTTAGCACCATTGTAACTTGGTCTGTGTTTTTTAGGAATTAAGGTTTGGTGTCATTAAGCAACTTGGACTGAACAGCAGGAGCCTATGGAGTCTCACACTGAAAAGTGTAAGCAATTAAAACACTACCAAGGAAAGCATTTTCCTACCACCAGAGAGAGGGCATTTACTCTCGGACTTTGGCAGTTATCATATGGTCATCAGGGGATGCAGAGTTTTTCACATTTCAGGCACAAAACTTAAAGTCTCTAACTGTTTTGTTCTCCTCTCACATACAGAGCTCTGTGTGCTTTTGTTAAAGGAAACATTAAACAACCTGTCACTGCATACACATTGGATTAGAAACTCTTATCATGTGGATGGGCTCTGGCCAGTACAGAAAGACATTACTGGAAACTTAGAGTCAAGAGAATAATTATATCTTAACATTTATTGGCTCAAGAAATCAGCTATAGTTCTCTTCCTTAGGGTTTTATACTGAAAACCTGTTGTTTTTAATTTTCTGAGTGCTGACAACCCACTGTGCTTAAACAGCAGCTCTTAATCAGAACACAATAATTAGATAGTTAGAGCCTGCATGATATTTAGATATGCAGAGGGGCATTGTATAGCAACAAGTTCACAAAGTTGTTTTTCTTCTTTCTCTCTGATTTATCATATGTTTTCTCTTTAAGTGTTATCATATGGATATGTTATAATTTGCTTGTTTCAATCATTTACTGCATAGTAATGTATGTCATATACATACATAATTGTACACATGCATAAAGCTACTATGACACAGTAACAGTAAAATGAAAAAATAAAGAATCAATAAGGGATTGATATAGCTTCTTCTAAATATTACATAATTAACAAGGAGGGGAAACCTGCTTAATTGGGTGTCCTTTTAATTTCAAGGTAACTTCACTCATACACACACAGGGTGAATATTAAGTTTTTAGTGAGATAATCCCTTAGTAAATGCCAATCCTTTCAAACAGGTTTTGGAAGAAAAAGTGTTTAGATTACAGTCAATTACTATTATATATCTCTGCAATTCTACTTTGAGAGTCTGTCTTCCACGAGATAACAACATCTTTCTTTCACTATTTATGCATTTTTGTTTTTTCTCATTCTCTTTTTAACACACTCCTGGTAAAATAACCTAAAATCACTCTGTTGCTCCATTTATTCTTACTCAAAATATTACAATTTGTTTTCTGTTCTAATTGGTCTCCTGCAACTGCTGGCTGACCTTTTGTAGCTTTGGCTTTGAACATATGCTCCTTTAGGTATCTTTCTCCATCTTTGGTTTTTGTGACAATAGTCCTTTTCCCTTGTTCTACTTCCAATCTTTCTACTTAAGTTTGTGGGCACTCCTTTAACCATGCTTTAACCATCCCCAATCTTTAGCTCTCTCTTCTCTCTACAAAACCCATTCAATCAAATACTGTGGCTTCCGCTATCACCTGCATAAACACTCTCACAGCCATATGGTCAGGATCTCTTTTGAACTCAAGGCCCCTATTTCAAATGACTTACTTAAAACATCACAATGTCCCATTGAGAACAATGGTATGCAGTAGGAATGCACAACTGAAATGGACTGATAGATTAGTGGTGATGGCAAGGCAGTTAAATATTTTAAAATTACCCCTGCCCAAAATGAACTCAAATGCAGAAATGAACCTTCCATCTTCCCTTGTAAATGATCTTGTGATCCACAGCTTAACTAGCACAAATCTTCTGCTTATATAAGCCAACCTCCTCTTTCAAATTCCAAATTTTTCTATTTTTTTTACCTATAAACATTCACAAGTTCAGCAGCTTTCATAGTCATCTTCTCACTCTTATCACCACAATGTTGTTTTTTTAAAATGTACGTATTCCTATTACCTAACTTTACCAATTCTTGACTGGTAGTCTATGTAAACCCCTCTAATTCTATACTTTGGCCACTATTAAAGTGAACACTACATAATGTCACTGTTTGTTAAAACTTCTTAAATGGCGCCTCCAGGCACCAGCATCCGAATTTATACTATTTTATATTTTATACAGGATCCATTATCCTCAGGCTCTTTTCCACTTTCCCATCATCAAGTCTCCCTCCTGCTCAATTCACATCAAATTCCATGTCTCCACATTAATAATTTTTTTCTACTCCCACTCGCCCTCTCCTTTCTATTACCTAAGCCTCTGTATGTATGTTGTTTCCCCTGCCTTGAAAGACAGTCTACATGTTATATACCTGGTAGAAACTTGATTATCTTTAGGATATCTATCTACTAACTCTCTTACTGCTCCAGGGAGTGCAGGAGATTTCCTTTCCTATTTTTCTACATTGCCTCTGTATACTGTTCATATTTCTATTAGAGTAAATATCTAACTATATTAGAGATATTTGTGTAGCTCCTCAATTGAACAATACCTCCTAGAGGCTTGACAACTACTTGCATTTAATTAGTGTATGCTCACAAAAATTAAATTCTATATGAAAAACCCACCTTTTATTTGGGAAATACATAGAGTTATATGTAAAACATAATGGAAAATATAGTAAGAGAAAAGATTCAGGAATGTATTAAGCTATTAGGGCACTTTACAAGCAAACAAATTTTTAAAGTAGTTCTCTGCTTTTATGCAATAGCATAAAATGAAGCAAAATAATAACATTTAACTTATGCATTAAGTTAAGTTAAAATATAGGTTAATAATGAAGATAGACTAATTATCTAAATGGAAATTTAAAAAGTAGGCTGGCATATATACAACATTCTGTAGAGAACATTATTACATTTTAGTAACCTCATGTGAAGCAGAGGCTGGAAATGGTTTTCCAGTTCCATTTCTAGAAACATTTTTGTTATCCACTAAGGCAATCTCTCAGATATCCATCAATCACTAGCGTGGGAGTGAACAAAAGCCCACATACTTAAAATTGTCATGAATGTAACACAGGTTTATAGCCATATGTTGGAAAAACAGCCTGACAAAAGAGAACGGTAAACTTTAGCTATACTTTGCAAAGATAAATTAGTGTTAGCAGAATTGCTCAAAATTTCTTTTTGAAACCATGCACATGGCCCGTTTAACCAGGAACTTTTCTTAAGTTTTTCTGTCTCTCTTCTTCATAAAATGACATAATACGTATATTAATAGAAATACCTGGTTTGCGCCATGAAGACCTGGAAAGCCGCCAACAAAGACAGAACCGGATTCTGGCAGTGGTTTTCTAGACACATGATTGAGAGATTCGCTTGCTTTGATAGTCCTCCCTAGAATAGTCAGTTCAGCTTTACATGGGTCCAATTCTTGCCTGCAACAATTTAGAAAGGAATTTATGGTTTTAGTTATGTTGTGCAAACATTTGTCTGACTAATTAATTAAGCTATTAACAAAAGAAGAAAGATTTAAGTAAATAGATTATCTCACCATAAAACCAACAAAGCCAGAAATAGATTACTCTGTTCTAAATTACAAACCCTTAATGCTTTAAGTACATAAATACAAAGTCAATTTTGACAAAACAACAAATTGTAGCAATCATCTAATAAAATAAATAAATCCTGATAAACAGATCTCTTTAAACAGTGATTAAAATGTTAGAGTATAATATTCTACTTTAGTCTTCTACATTGTTAAATTTTCTGCATCAGTTAAAAATGATTGAAAAGTATGTTTTAAATATGGTTACAGCACTGTCCCTTCATCCACAATTTCATTTTCCAGGGGGTCAGTTAGCTGCGTCGTCAGACTAAGTCCAAAAAGATTAAATGGAAAGCACCAGAAATGAACAATTCATAAGTTTTTAAATTGTACATCAATCTGTGTGGTATGATGAATCTCAAATTGTTATTCTGCTTCCTGCCAAGGACATGTACCATCTCTTTGTCTAGTGTATCCAAACTATGTACGTTTTTCACCTTTTAGTCACTTAGTAGCCACCTTGGTTATCAGGTTGACTGTCCCAGCATCACAGAGTTTATGTGACAGTAGCCTAATGCTAATTGACGGTGCCTACATTATTCACCTCACCTCATCTCATTACATAGGCATTGTACCAGATCACATCATCATAAGAAGAAGAAGACATTTTGAGAGAGGCCGCATTCACATAATTTTTATTACAGTATATTATTATATTTGTTCTATTTTATTATTCATTATTATTAATCTCTTATTGTGCCTTATTTATAAATTAAGATTTCCCATATATATGTATATATAAGAGAAAATATAGTATATACAGGGTTTGGTACAGTCTGTGGTTTCAGGCATCCTCTGGGGATCTTGGAACATATCTGCCAAGAGAAAGCGGGGCGGGATACTGAATCTAGTTCACAACACATCTTTGGGCTGAACATGGTAATATTGCAATGAGTAACTAGTTGTAGTAATATAAATCATACCAAGATATAAAGCATGTAAAATTAAAAAATAAATAAATAAAATATAATTTAATTAGGCAACTCTCAGTAATAATTTTCATGAGCCCATATTTTAGAAAGATGAAATAAAAAATACTTCAACAATACTTAAACATGTACGTATGTATACACATCTCATTTACTCCAGCCATCTGTTTAATCATCTAATCCAGGGATTGAAATATATGGCATAAAGGCCAAGGGCTGCCTGCCACCACTTTGTAAGAACAGCTTTACTGGAGCTGAGCCACACATTTCTTTACACACAATCTATGGCTGCTTTCACAGCACCGTTGAGTACTTGTAACAAAAACTCTAATGCCCAAAGAGCCAAAAATATTTACTATCTAATTCTTTAGTTAAAAAAATTGGTGGATTCTTATCTAACCAATTTATTTGTTTAGCTACCAAGCAAGTAAATATCATTAAAGTCCTTTTCAAGATGATGGCACACATATTATAAGACACCTATATAGTATTTACCTATCAATGTCTTTCTATATTATGAATATGTGATATTCTGTCTTTCAAATATTTATAAAATTTTTAATTGAATTATAGCATACAGGATTAAGAGGGTAAAGGATAAAGTTCTATGAAATACCATTTGTGAACATACTTAAATAATCACTACTTAGGTCAAGTGGTATGATGTTACTAGCAAGGATCCCTAGAAATACTAGCAACACAAGTACACATTTTTATACACCCTCCAGCTTAATTTAAAATTGTTTTAAATATTTATCTTTGCTACTGAATTTAACAGCAGTTTGTTTATTTTCAAGATACATCATTATATTAATATTTCACAAATTACTCTAGATTTAGTGTACCTTTTGGTGCTATTACAAACATCACTGTTATAGACATTCTTGTATATGTAGAATTAATCCTCTTACATTTTTCATCTTTGGGGTTGAGATTATAAAATATCATATTCTCCCTTTTTTTCTTAGTGGTGATGAATTATGTTCACTGGCTTTTTAATAATTGAACACATTCCTGAAATAAAGTTAACTTTGTCATAATGTATGCCTTGATTATATAACACAGGATTCACTTTTCTGTATTTTGGAGAACATATATAAATGCATGTTTACATATATACATATATTAATGGGTATATAATAAATATAATTCACATATATATGAATAAAAGAGAGAGACGTGCCTTCATATATCCTGTCTTGTACTAGTCTTGTAAAATTTTGCTGTCAAGATTATGCTGTCCTTATATTCTTTCAGAAAGTTTATGTAATATTAATTTTACATCTACCTTTTTTATATATATGGTAGAATTTACTAGTACAGTCATCTGGGCTTAAAGTTTTCTTTGTGGAAATTATTAAATATGGATTTAATGTATTCAATATAATATAGTTATCTATGTATTATCATGCCCATTTTGTTAAACTATATTTTTCCTAGACATTTTTTCAATTAATCTGTACTTTTAAAAGTATTGGCATAAAATATTTCATTATTTCCTCATATTTTATTTTATTGGTATTAGAACTGTAACAATGTCTCTTTCTTATGACATTGACTATTTGTGCCTCTTCTCATTTCATTTGTTTTGTAGATAAATATTGGCAGTGAGTAGTAAATTTCAATGAACACACTTTTGCCACTGCTGATAGTCCTAATTCTTTATTTGTTTTCTACATCTTTAATGTCTGCTCTTATCTTAATTACTTTCTTCCTTTAACTTTCCTTGGGTTTAATTTACTACTCTATTTATAAGTTTTTAAATCTAAATTATTCTCTTAAGATTGTAATTTTTTCTCTAGGAATCAATGTAGCTATGTTTAATAAGTTCTATTTTTCATTACCATCTGTTCAAAATATGTTCTAATTTCTTTTATTTTTTCCCTTTAGTCCAAGAACTATTCAGAATGGCGTTACAAATTAACAAATAAACAGGATTTTCTCTTTTTATTAATATTATCAAATATTATTAAAGCTCAAGTGAAGTTTGTTCAAAGAATGTTCTCTATTTGCTGCTAAGTCTTTGAAATATATATGCCTAGCTACAGAGCCCAGGAAATGGCCAAATTTAGTAATGTTTTCACAACTCTCAAAGTCTGTAGTTAAGTGCAATATTCTATCTATGTGTATATGGTCATGTTTTAACACATACATAAACATAAACATACTTAACCACTTTTGTACTGAATGTAGAATGGGAACAAATAATTAACTCATGTCTATAGTGTATGTAAATTTCTTCTTAACATATAGCTTACAGATTCTTTCACCTTCTTCCATCTACATCATGATATAAACTTCAAAGAGTAAGACCAAGTGTGGCATGCCGCCAATAGTGAGGATTTTATTAAGAAAGATTTGAAAAATTTTTGAAAAGATCAATGATGTTCTCTATATTAAGAACATGGGAGAAAAATGTGTTGAACATTTTTAGAACCCATTTCTTGAATTCTATATTAAAGCAAACTAGAAGCTTTCTGGGTTAATTACTTATAACAATTAAGCAGTTAATTATATCTTAGGGAAGATACAGCTTCCAGGAAGCTATTCATTAACTGATAAAAATAAAAAGCAGATCATCATGGCAGAGTGAGAAGACACATTTGTATCTTTCCTTTAATCTACAACTAGGTTGGATATCTATAATCCAACAAAGGTTTCTCTGCTGCACATACTCCCATTCCTGAGAGATCCAAGCTCTGGTAGATCTGAAGGTGGACATATTGAAACACAGAGGGGAGGCAGGACTGAGGGGTGGACAGGGACAGGACTGTGCCGGCGGATGCAGTTTCCCAGCTACCACTGTTGAAACCGCAGCCCCAGCTAACCTGGTAGTAGCGGTGAAGTCATAGCTCGGCTCCCATACTACGGCCCTGCAGAGGGTAGGAGGGGCTGAAACAGTGTCAGCACAGGAAAATCTAGCTCCCTCCTCCACGGGTGGCAGAGCCTCACAGCAGCGGTGGAGATACGTCTATTATCTCCAAGCGGCAGCGCAGCCGCTCCAGCTGCCACAGAGAACAAAGTAACAGCATGATAGGCTTAAAACACTGGCTTGCCCACCCAACACATCCCCAGTCATGCAGGTAGTGATTCTCAAGACCAGAGTTATGACCCGACACCATGACCACAGAGATGCAGTCGCACAGGAAAGAGGAAACAAAAACTTACACTATGGTGTCGTCTATGAGAAAAAGAGAAATGATCTGTTATCAATCTGCTGAACTCTTACAATAAAAAAATCAAATGGTCTAAATAACTACTTCAAATGCTCTAGCAGAGGAACAGCCTACCAAGCACCAGGAACAATGAAGGCAACACAGTAATACAAAAAGAATATAACAGTTCTTCCAAAATCAACTTGAAGTCACGGAAGACTAATTTAAATGACAAAAAATGTAAGGTTGCAGTTTTGAAGAAACTCAGATACAAGAAAATTCAGAAAGTCTGCTCAATGAGCTCAGGAATAAAATTAGTGAACAAAGGAGATTGAAAATATAAAAAAAAAAAACAAAAATTTTGGTGTCGAAGAACTTAAAATGAGATGAAGAATGAACTGAAGAGCATTGGAAATAGAGTAGGCCACATGGAAGAGATATTTATTGAGCTCCAATAATTCAGGGGGAAAAGAGAGAGAACTAAAAAGTTAAAAGTAAATAAAAGAATTCTATGAGAAATATCTGACTCCATTAGAACAACATAAGGATAATGGGTCTCAGAAAGAAAGGAGAGAAAGAAGGGAACAGAGGATCTAATTCAAAGAAATAAATAAGGAGAATTTCCCAAATCTATGCAAGGAGCTGCACATTCAAGTAGAAGAATCTAACGGAACACCTAATTATCTCAATGCAAAAAGACCTCCTCCAAGACACATTATATTAAAACTGTCAAAAGTTAGTGACAA